AAGTCAGTTTTCAATATTTTTATCAATAAAATGCTGTGAATGTTAGAGCAGATTGTTTTTTAAATCTACTTTCACAATGTGTGTTTTAAATTTATTCATACAAATTTGAATATCATCTAATTCTATGATACCAAACCAAAAAGAAAGTTGAGAACAGTTTGTATTGAAAAACTCTTAAGCCATTTCTGCTCCTGTGCAGTCATTTAGACAAAATTTTGTTTAAATGTTTCAAGATCAGTCACATTTCTGAAGAACATGCGAATCTGAATGGTCTAGCTGTTAATGCTTTTCATTTTCCTTAAACATGTACAATAAGTGCTTATAAGTAATAATAGAGTTATTGCTTCTGTAATGGTATCAGGTAATTGAGTTATATTTTTTATGATGGTGTCATTTCTAGTGACTCCCTCTTTAACAGGCCAAGCATGGCCCGATCATAAGCATCTCGAGCTACAGATTGGTAAGTTCAAGTCACTTTGCACTTGCAGCTACAGGAGCATTATAACTGTGACATCCAACTCTGCTGTTTGATTAAATTAGCCATGTATGTGGCAGTTTCTGCTTACTGGTTGCCCTTTATTAGGGATTGTTATTCCTGAGCCTTGTGGGTCTCTGACCTGGCCATTTAGTCCCTTTGTTGCACGTGGTGCCATTCAGGTTGAATATATCAAATATCATACTTTGTTTAATATCAGTAAGAAAGAAATGGGTTTACATTTTATTCTTATGGCATGCACCTTTTGGGTGAATTATTTATAATAATGTACCTGCCTATGGTACCATTAAAGATCATAAATAATCTCCATATTTTTAAGTACTCATTTTGTTGGATTTCTGGTCAGTGATTAAGGAGGCTGGTTTTTCTTAGTGTTTTAAAATCTTGGGATTATTTTTTTTCTTTTTGTTCTTTCTGCTATAGAAGTATTCAGGCAAGTTTTTTTAGCTCCAACAGTATAGTATGATTATATTGTGTTAGCATATTGGTAATATTTTACATGTGTTTCCTCTAGGAACCAAGCATTGGGGATATTCTGCTTCTTAAAATATCCTCATAAAAACATATTCAATTACAGGAAGGTAAGTTATCCTTAGTTAAACAACATTAAGTCCAAATTACCTCAGATATCTTGTGATCACCAAACCAAAATACCCAGGTCTGGTCAGGATGGGCAGGGGGCTGACCACAATCAGATCCCCAAATAACAATAGCTGGCCACCATGGTGTGGATCCAAGTTTTCCCCAAACTATGTCTTATAGTTTAGTTTTAATGGCCTGTCTACATTTCTAAGATTAGTCCAGGAGTGACATTTCTGCACATTGATAAAAAGCTAATTCAGTTAAGTGTACAAGAATGATTTTTTTGACTAATCTTACAAAGATAATTCCTATTGAAAGTAAAAGTATACTTTTCAATGTATTTAAGATGTTTGTAGCTTTTGTAACTTACATTTTTCATAATTTTGTCCTTTTTTTTCTACTAAGAACACTATTTTTCACTGCTTTTCTAATTATGTATCCTTTATATCTTTACATTTCCACTTTGTCTGTTGTGTTGATTTACTTTGCACTAAATGTATTTCTCTTTTCAATGCTGATCTTATTTCAACAGTGATAGTTCTTGTAGGATCCTTTTTATCTACTTTTGTATTTACATGCTTTCTTCCATCAGTAAAGGACTAGGTGATTTAACCGCCCAAAATTGCCCCATCATGGAAGTTTTTAAAAATAGTGCCATCAAACAGTTTTCTTTACGACATTTTCTGTCTTATTTAAATTTTCAGGCTTTATCTGCTTTAAATATGTTAAATGAACATACTACATAAGAAAACTGAGGTTTATATACTGAGTAAGAAAATAAAGTTTGCTTTCAGCATGTGTGTATGTTTTTGCCATAGCACAACCATCTTGGGCTATCTGCTGTGTCCACCAAGGGGAATCAAACCCCCTGATTTTATCATTCTAAATCCATAGACTTACCACTGTCCCACTGGGGGACTGCTTTCAGTAATAGTGGGTGATCATGAAGAGATAATGTGCCCAATCTCTCCATTTAGCATTCATACAAACTCTTAAACATTTAACACATCTTTACAATACCTTTCTTAGATGGCATAAATTGCAACTTAAAATGATCAAACATCGTTTCATATATCAGTATGTATTTTTTTTTAGGTGTCATGCCTTTTGAACTCCTAGAAAAGTGATGAAACTCCTAGGTTCATTTTAGGAAATGCTCCTTTGTCAACCACAAGGTTTAATTAGTTTATTTGATGTAAAAACATGTCACCTGACAAAACTCGTAAAAAAGTATACCTATCATGTTATTTGGTTTCTTAGGATCACAAAAAGCACAAAACAATGGGATTTCAATACAAAATGTTTATATATCTTCAAATCTAAGAAATATTTTTTATTCTGACTGTAGGATATGGCCATGTTTATGAAGTCATAAATCCGAAATGACAAATTTGAGAAAAATGAAACTCAGGTGAAAAGTGTTTTTGGCATAGGATTTATTTTATCACTATTTACAAAAACTTTCATGCCCTTTATCAGCTCCTATGTTTTTTTTTTAGTATGCCTAATCCCACTTTGTACATAATTTTTTATTTTCCATTAGTTGAACTTCTCAATGCACATTTTCTTTTCAGTTCTTGTCAGTTTTTTATTATCTGTAGGTAACCTGTATTTTCTCTGTAAATTATGTTTGTTAGCTCTGTTTTTTCTACATGATCATAGTTTTCTTCTTCCTTTCTTACTTTTATATGTATACATTCATCCATCATTTTTCTTGTCATTTTTTGGATCTCTTTTATGTATATTATTATTGCTTTTCATCAGTAATAGCCATTGTTTTATTTCTTTTTACAAGCCTGGCATGGCTTGGTGGTTAGGGCACTTGACTTTTGATCTGCAGGTCATGGGTTCGATTCCCCATCACACCAAGCATGCTCACACTTTCAGCCATGGGGAATTATAATGTGACAGTCAATCCCACTATTCGTTGGTTAAAGAGTAGCCCAAGAGTTGGTAGGCAGGTGGTGTTGACTAGCTGCCTTCTCTCTAGTCTTTCATTGCACAGATAGCCCTCGTGTAGCTTTGTGCAAAATCGAAAACAAACCAGACTTTCCTTTTGCACTTTTCTTGTGAGTTTACTAATACAGTTTTTGTCCATGTTTTCCCTCTCTTTTTTTTACTTGTTAGTTTTTGCTTTTTTTGTCATTATATGTATTTTTCTATTTGTACTTTTATGATTTCTCTCTTATTTCTATTTCTGTGCGTTCTTCCACCAGTGTTTTCTTTCATATTTTTTGTTCCTTTTGTATACTTTTCTTAATGAGCTTTTCTTTTATCTTTACTACTAACTTATATTAGAGTTTTACTTTATATCTTAAGATTTTCTTGTCTATCTGATTGATTTTGCAAACTAGAAAACTGTAACAATAGTGTATGAACTAAATACGTTTATATTTCTAAAATATTATGATTTCTTTATCTTTTCCTTTGCATAGCTACCAAAAGATAAACTTCTTGGACTTGTTGGAGCTTTCAATGATAACTATATTGATTTAGGTGGAAAATTCTTTAAGAGAGGAGTACTTGAAGCACTACAGGTATTAGTAATACATATAAGCCAGAAGTAGGACTTTCATACTTTTATTTTTTAACAAATGATATAAACGTTGAATGTGGAACTGTATTAATTCCAGTTACTACTACTGGAATGGTATACATTTTCATTTACTTTTTTTCTTGAGAAAAAAAGATGCAAGTAAAATATAGAATATTTGCGTGTTCTTATTTGAGGTGTAACAAATATAAACAATAATTGATTTGGTTTATGTG